ATTTGGTATATAAACTAGAAACTCTGTTTCTTTTAATCTCTTAAATAGTATGCCCGGAAAAGTCTCGTAGTAAACTATCAAATTCCTTCTGATTTACTTAAACTATTTCTTTTTTAATTTATAACAGATATAAATCAGATATATTTCGTATTGTATTTTCCAAAATTCTTCGAAGAAAATAGCAATAAAGAGAACAGAAATCTAAATATGTTTATTGAAAAAAGAAAGAACTGTCTCAGAGAAGCGCAGTTTTGTTTTAAATCACCACCAAAGAGGCTAACCAAAACGCATTTAATTGTGTCATTGTCACGTTGAATCTCAACCAATTTCTTTTCTCCGTGTGCGAAAATTTTTCGCTGAATCGCCTCTGTGAGATTTGCGTGCGTGTGTATAAGTGTGAGATATCGCGCGTTATATTTTTGATATTCATACTTCGTGAGAGGTCAACTCTCGTATAACCAAGAAATAACAAAAACGTGATGATATGTGGGCAAGGCGCTGTTGTATTATGCAAAGTGTCGCGTAACTTTTATAGAGAAAGAGGAGGCAAGAGACGTACAGAGAAAGACCCAGTGACAAAGAGAGAGAGAGAGAGAGAGAGAAAAAGGGAGAGAGAGGAAAAAAGCCGTCACTTGATTGAAGTAGCCTCGAAATTACGTGGCTTAATGCCTCACCGAAAACAGACTCAAGCCAAATCGAGGACACGGAAAAGAGAAACCAGGAACAACAGCGGGGTATTCACTTTGTTACTCGCAGTTAACAGGAAATAGGTAGCACGGATGGAGACGCTTTACGACCCGTGGAAACTTCGTAATAGTGCCGTACCGTTACGACCTCCCGCCCTCCGTTTCAATAAACTAATTGAACCTAAAACTTCTCAAAGCCACGTAAAGTCCTAGTCGAACAATATTCACCCGACCCCGTAAAATACCGCGCCGGGCTGAAGTGGGCATTGACATTTATTAGAAAACGATTTCGAGAGAGAACAAAGATTCCGATTAATATTCGCGGATTATAGACGCGAAGTCGCGAAGCCGTGAAAGCGGCTGGACGCGTAAGTCATGTGTTTCTTCAATCATCTTTCATTCGGGAACTCGACAACGCGAGAAAAGTCGAGAAATACGCGACGCCACCGAAAGATTTAATCGGACTTAATTAGGATTGAAACTGGATCTATTCCGACACATAAATTTAATACATAATTTCTTGACTTTCATCTCTTACGCGGAAATTCTTGCTAAAGAGTAGTCGAGAAAATGGGACGATTCCTAAAATATCAAGGCGAAATGAGATTGGCTGCATTTGCTCTTCTTGTGAAGATTAGCCAACGCTTTTATAGCGGACAGACTCCAACGAACACGACCCAGGAACCCATGTCGAGAACGTTTTGCGTCGGAACAAATTACGGAAACAAATGCATTATTGAGATAATAAAATTACCTTTAATCAGTTGGAGGGCTTCGTGGAGAGAAATTTAGGATAGTGTAGCCCGGTCGAGAGGGATTTTCACACTTTCGCATTAACTCGCACACAGCCCGACCGGCTGTTGGCATAGAAAGTTTCCACATCGTTCGCGAGCCGGGGCGAAAATGTTATCTCGTCGATGTTGCATTAACGAAAGTTAACTTTAAGCCATTCGAATCCTCCATGGATCATGCAAGTTTACCAGTTATCCGAATGCTTACGAAGCGCATCGAGACATGGGACTAATATCAAATTGTTGTATATAATTTTATAATTGCAATTGTAATGCAAGCACTTTTTTATATCAATATACATTACTTTAATCTACTGTGTTGAATTTTTATTTATTTTTTTAAGACAGTATGCAAATTTTTCGAATTAATTCCAAATATTAATCCGTTGTGTTGAATTTTTATTTAAGAAAGAATACACTAATTTTACACGAATTTCAGATATTAATCTCTTGTGTTGAATTTTTATTTAAGAAATAGTACGCAAATTTTTTACATCAATGTAAATAATTTTACAATCGTAATTGTGATTCAAGCACCATTTACATTGCATTATATTAGAAAAAAGTACACATAAATGTAATAAACATCGTCTTCAGAGAAAAGCAAACAAGCTAATATACATATTTTGAACATTTTTCTACCTCCCTATTTTTCAAATAAAAATTCGACAAAAGATTATTATCTGGAATTGATGTGACATTTACTATTTTTTTTAACAAAAATCAACACTAAAAATTAATATCTAGAATTTATGTATGTGTATGAAATTTGTGAAATTTTAGAGAATTTTATAATAAAAATCATTATATATATAGAATTTTATAAGTTAAAAATAAATTTAACATTCTCTAAAATAATTAACTATCTTTTCATCTCAAACGTATTCTTCCATTCTCTACATATATTTTGGAAATGAAAGTACTACTTTTAAATAAAAATTCCGCAGAACTTCAACAGATTAATATCTAGAATTCCTGTGAAATTTATGTGTTATTTTTTAAATAATAATTCAACACAAGATATTAACATTTAAAATTGATATGAAAAATTTGCGTACTGTTTCTTAAACCAAAATTTAACACAATGTATTAGCATTTGGAATAGATGTGAAATTTGCCTACTATTATAAAAATAAAATAAGTGAAAATTTAACACAAGAGATTAATATCTATGTATTGATATATTGAGATATGAAATTTGCATACCAATTTATGAGTATATGTCTGTATCATTTGACAATGAATTATCGGTTACAATGGTGAAATATCAGTCGATACTCTCACGTCAGTCCTATCATTGGCTGATTTCTGATAAGATCACGCGCAGAGAGTAGCGGTACAGCAGGCATATCAATAATTCCCTCCATACGGCTGTCGCATACTAAGCGCAAATTTAGGTGAGCAATTCCGGGGCGATATCGCCGATTATCGAGGTAATCGGATGCGCGGGGAGTTCGACGGCGGAAATATTACCTCGTCAATGTCGCATTAAGGCGTGATAAGTTTAAGTTGGGATTCCAATTTGAATCCCCGACAGCTTGTTAGAGCTTAGCTCGAAGCAAGCAAGCGCGCGCGCGCAACTTTGGCGATATGCAGATTTAGCATTCGCCAACTTCGAAACGAGCTAGCTCAAAAGCGCGCGTTCCGCGGAGGCGTTAGGCAGTATCTGCCAAACAAATTGCACATGCCGCGCACGTATCAAGTCGTGAAAGTCGCATGTGCCGGTAGCGTTGCGCGAGCGCTCATGGCGGAAAAAGCTCAAGAAGCTATGGGACTACGTATCGGTCGATGTTCGCGACGCCTCTGTGTCGACGTCGCGTGAATAAGTTGTGTGTGCAAAATTGTCATTGCACCGCCGACAGTGCGAGAATTCGAAGTTTGTGACATATCATGACATCGGGGATAATTCGGGTTGCATAAACCAAGAAACGATGTATTCTGAAGTGGTGCCGCATATACCAACAGCAATCGATGAAATTATTGCTATTATTATTATTGTCGTTGTTGTTTAAACCGTTTACTCGAATATAAAGTAGATGCTTTCTTATCCTGAAGTGTTCTCCAAATCGCTCATTTTCCGGAACGATTAGGTTTTTGTTCAAAAAGCTTTTGTCGTATGATTGTCAAATAAAATGGAAAACGAAATTATCTAATTTCAAAAGATTAATAAAATGTACAATACAAATTAGGTATTTTTTTTAATACCCAATGAGAAGATTTTTTACGAGAAGAAAATTTTATAATAAAAATCATTATTTTGTAAGTTAAAAATCGATATTGAAGCAATTGACGTTATTGATTTATGACGTTAGTAGCCAGAAAATGCGCGTTAAAATTTCTTGTAAAATTCGTTGAAATAAAATAATATGTATACAAAGTGATATATTTACAATCAATCGAGCAGATCCGTAAAATAGTTCGAACATTTTCTTTTTACTCTGACAATCAATGAATAGCCGTAAAATTAATGTAACAAAATTATGAAGCAAAGTGGGTTAAAGAGGATAGTTTACGTATCACTTTAATTTTACAGTTATTTATTGATCGAACAAAAGTAAAGTATTCGGATTATTTTATACGTCTATTTGATCGATTGCAAGTATCGTTTTATGGATACACCTCTTTATGTTAGCGTATTCTGCAAGAATTTTTAGCGTATATTCTCTCGCTTCTGTTGTCATTAATTAAGACTTACAGAAGCAAAAGCTTTAAACAATTTGCTACGTTTCTAACGAAATTTACTATGTTTCCAATGAAACTTACTATGTTCATTAGCAAAGCCAGAAATCTTGCTAACAATCTACGCCTGTGTGTGTATTTGTGTATGTGCACTACTAAGAACATAGTAAAATTAAAAAGAATTTAAATGAAAAAAAAAAGTTATAATATTCTCTCCATCTGTTTCCCTTGTAATACTCAAACTTTCTGGGAGAATTTAGTAAAAATGAATAAAATAACAAATCTTTTGCACCAATGTAAACAATTTGCTACGTTTCTAACGAAATTTACTATGTTTTTAATGAAACTTACTATGTTCATTAGCAAAGCCAGAGATCTTGCTAACAATCTACGCCTGTGTGTATTTGTGTGTGTGCACTACCAAGAACATAATAAAATTTAAAAAAATTTAAATGAAAAAAAAAA